CAACACCATTAACCTTCATTTCTGCACCACTTCCAGCGCCACACAAACCCAGGTAACGTTAAATCAATACAATAACCTAACCTAACCTCAACTTTCTAGTGATTGGTGGTGAGGGAACATCGCGGGCTGCTGCAGTCAAGCATCCATAACAGAGTGAAAGTCGAGGAGCTCTCCATGGTTGGGCTGCGACCTGACCACAGTGAGATACATGTTAATTACTCTCAGTCTTCCTCCTCCTCTTACTATATCGATCCTTTGTGTATACGGAATTCCGATTTCTTTTACCCAGCTTTAAATATTGTTGTTAGCTCCTCGCCAAAGCTTGAATACTGAAGCTTGATGTTAAGGTTTATATTCAATTCTAAACTAACACACCAAGGATTAATAAACAGTACATGGTGAATATTTTTTTGTTACTCCGGTAGTCACAGCACAAACTAGAATGACAACTTGAGCCTTTAAAACAGATGAATTCTTGATACTGATAGAGCAGAACTTTGGTTTAAATTATTCGGCCAGTGTACCAGCGCCACTATCCCAGCTCCCGAGGACGAGGATACACAGAGGGCCACTCCACACCGTGTTGTTTATCTCACAGTGTGTCGGCGCCACTAACCCCGATTTAAACACTCTGAAACACGTCTCTCAGCCACACAGTGAGGTTAGGCTACTCCCATGGTGTACAGCGCCACTACCCCGGCATGAAGACGCCAGTACCACCTACTCATCTCCCCTCCCCCTCTGCCCCTCCTCCTCTCACGTCTGGCATCGACCGGATAGTACGTGCGAGGTCACAACCACGTCTCAGGTCATCGGAGGTCATGGTGTGTTTACTTGTTGGTGGAGTCAAGTCTGCTCATTGCTGTAGTTTAACTTTACCCTAATATAGACATGATGTAGTGTTCCTAAATCATCTATTAAAAAATACAAAAAATTAACCCATTTAAGAAACACCCTCAAAGATAGTGATCATAAACGTACCCAAAACTGTTAACATGTAGTGAGGATGATGAGAACAGCAGGAACACGAGTGCTGAATCCTCACTATATCCAGAGAAATCCGTGATAACACACACCGAGAAGCATTCAGGCTGTGGGGCTATTGAAACACAAGTCTCTCATCTCCAGTAAATGTTGAGCTTCAAATTACTTGTATCTGAGACGACGGGTCTGATAGCTGGAGCAGAGAGAGGACTTGGCGTGGCTGGCTGGCGCGCTCGGGAGGAAACTGATGGCTGCTGGAGAAGTGAGGGGGAAGGGGAGAAGTGAGGGGGGGTTGGGGGAGGTTGGAGCCAAGACAGTAGGACGTGTTTGGTTAGTTCTGGAAAACAAGGTCAGGGGAGATGGGGTGGGGGGCATGCCTAGTACCACGGAACTGAGGATGGCTAAGAGCGTGTTGGCAGCTTCGTGGGAAAGGAGACATATTGCACACACGGGAGCGGGAGGCGAGAGGTACCGGTGGTGGGAAAAGGCGAGGGGTAAGTGGGGCGGTTAGCTGGGGTGAGGGTAAAGGTATGGTGGGAGGGACGGAGGGAGGGGAAGGGATGGAAGGGTATAAGCAAGAGGAACCCGGGTATCATATGTCAGTAGGTGTTATCTGCTGATGGGACCGGAGTAAGTCTGGCCAGTTGAGCAGGAGAGCTGTCCTTCCCCTGAAAGACTCCGTTACTTAGCGTTACTTACTGGTGATGGTGACGATAACACTCCTGCTCTGTCACCCCCCGCTCATCGTCCTTCTTACCTTCCTATACCTTTATTGCTTCTGTTTACGTGTTGTGCACGTATGTCTACTGAGGCTACTTACATTACTCCCTGCAGGTTCACCATCTCCCCCCGACTTAACCTCACCAATATCAGCTTTCACTTTGTACAACCTCCGATATATTGCAGTAACATATTTTGACAGGTTAACTCAGTAATACAAAGTTATGGATATTTTTCAGCAACCAGAGGATATTTAAACACTAATCGGGGGTATGAGTTTCACGGTTGTATGATCATAAACATCCCGTGTAACACCAGATGGGCAAATAAGTGTCCCAGCATGAAGACAGACACCCACCTCCCCTCCCAGCCCAGTCCAGCTCAGCTCAACCCCGTCACACCTTGCCTCATGACCTTACCGTTCTCCCCCAGCTGTGTTCATAACCACTTCATGTCCCGCCCTGTAATAATCCAAAGCTCAGAGATGGCTGCCACTCCTGTTGACTCCTCTATAAGCAGACGGAGCTACCACCCTCCTCCTCCTCCTCCTCCTCCTCCTCCTCCTCCCCCAGCGGATAAATACTGCCTCAGTCAAGAGTCTTTATAAGGCACTTCACTGACCCTCCTACACCACCCCCTTCCCACCCTCCCGCCCGCCCCTTCTAAGCAGCAGTGACTCACAGTGGTGGAGTGTTGTGGCGCCGGGGACACCTCTGGCCGCCCGCCTCAACATGATGTAATGATTAAGACAATTGCCGCCCACACTAAGGGAGGAGTTCTTTTAACCACAGCGGGGCATCATGACGCTACTGGTGTGTGTGTGTGTGTGTGTGTGTTGACCCTGAAAACAAGTAAGGTGGGATGACAGGTAAGGCAGTAAGTAGTGTGGGTGGCAGGTGTGACGGTGTTATCTGTGTCTGTAATGAGCCGCCCGCCGCCGCCCTCACACCAGAGGAAGACCAACTGCCAGTCAGGAATGTTCACCTTCCCCGTCCTCAGCCCCCACCTGCCCCCGCCAACCACCCAGGCCAGCCCCTCACGCCCCTTTACTAGCTAATACCACCCACGTCAACCCCCTCACAGTTACAAACACGACTCACACGTCCAGCTAATGCCAGTCTCCCATCGACATCCGCTGACATCCTAAATCACAACACCCACCGGCTACACCACAGGTAGGCCTCAACCACGACAGTAGACGGAGAAGGCGAGAAGTTTCAAGGTGACCAATTTCCTGTAGTAACAGATAGAGGTGAGGAAGCAACAGGTAGGTGACCGGGAAGGTGGGTAATTCTACAGGTGATTAGGAAGGTAAGAAAGCAACAGGTGATTGGGAAAGAGAGTTAGCACACACACTTGAGCTATGGTAGTAATGGCGATTGGCTTAATGGCCGCCAGTCCTAAGAGGCTCTCCAATCTGATCTAATCAAACCGTACATCATAATACGGATTGGGGTCTAATCCTCATTGGTTCCAGCTGTAATGGCAGAGAGAGAGAGAGAGAGAGAGAGAGAGAGAGAGAGAGAGAGAGAGAGAGAGAGAGACTACAACTACGAAATCATAGCCATATATCGCTGGGTCACTTCCCTCTCCGTACCACACGCCCTCCTTCCTTCCTTCCCTCCTTCCTTCCTTCCTTCCTTCCCTCACTCTCTCTCAGCACCACACGCCCTCCCTCCCTCACCCTGACAAACACCGTCCCGAGCTGACATACGACCATCACCGATTAACCCTGTTTTACGGTACGCTAATTAGACTAATTTTCCGGCCTGTACCAATGGGTCTTCTTCATAATGGTGAGGCATGACCAATACGCCCCCCCCCCCCTTCACAATATTACGACACGGTTCTAATCAGATTTTCAAACTTTATTTACCAATAAATCTCAACACACGCCATACTTACCCTTCATATTAACCAAGGTGATAAAATTAACACTGTAATAAATCAACAAGGCCATTACAACTTATTATAAAACCCGTAAACTTGTGAGTGAATAAAACCACTTTATATTTGACTACGGAATAAAGACCTGTTGTATATACAGCTTAATTTATCTCCCCCTAAACACAATCAAGCTTCAGAAATCTTAATTGGATGCCATATTGAGCCAAGCAGGAGATTTACACGTGTTATACTAAGCCAATATTTACAGAGAGAGAGAGAGAGAGAGAGATATTAATAGTGAACATTCAGAGCAGCGACAGAGAGGAGGGAAGGGAAGGGGAGGGGGTGAGCCACTAACCGAAGGACAACAAAGGAGTGTGTTCTACAAGTCATCGTTATATTACCACCCCCCCCCTTCCCTGGGTGAGTCATGGCACCTCTCACTGGTCGCTTCATGTGCCATCCCAACCCATCTATGTTAAATTTTTTCTCGTGTGAAAAAAGTTAGAAAAGTACATTATGTTTACTGTTTACATCGTGACTTCAGCACACAATGTTTACTGTTTACATCGTGAAGTCAACACAATGTTTACCGTTTACAACATGACGTCAGCACACAATGTTTACTGTTTACATCGTGACGTCAACACAATGTTTACCGTTTACAACATGACGTCAGCACACAATGTTTACTGTTTACATCGTGACGTCAACACAATGTTTACCGTTTACAACATGACGTCAGCACACAATGTTTACTGTTTATATCGTGACGTCAACACAATGTTTACCGTTTACAACATGACGTCAGCACACAATGTTTACTGTTTACATTGTGTCGTCAACAATGTTTACTGTTTATATCGTGACGTCAACACAATGTTTATTTTACATCGTGACGTCAGCACAAAATTTACTGTTTACATCGTGACATCACCACACTGTTTACATTATGACGTCAGAACACAATATTTAATCACAACAAGAAGTCAGAGTCGTATGGAGAAAACCAATAATTAATTTGATAGTTACATTAATAACTAAGGTCTCTCCCGTCTCAGCCTAACAACCACAGACCATTTCTTTAGTTCATTATGTTAAAACTTTCTCCAGTAATAACTTTCTTCATCCAACACGTTAACAAAAAACTTGGTTAACTTTCTACAGGTAATGATGATAAGACCAAAGTCGTGGTGACAATTATTCGTACAAGGTAATTAAGTTCACTGCACTGGAGGTTAATGAGGCGGGTTAAGGTAATGCCTATTTAACAGGTGAAGTTTCTTGTATCACAGGTGTTGACTCATCCATACTGCTCATATAACCAGAAACGAAGTAGTTTTGTACAATCTTCTGTTAACAATGTAGTTCTGTAGTTAAGATCCCCTCGTTGAGAATGGTTGACTCACCTTGAAGTTGGAGATGACGCCTTCCAGGTAGTAGTGCCACTCGAGGGAGCGCAGGTAGATCTGGTGCCAGTGCTTCTCCAGGGAGCGAGCCTTGCGGGGGATGTTGTCCTTGGTACCCCGACGAGGTGGACGAAGCTGCGGTTGTCTGGAGGTGGTGGCGGAGTCCTGGGTGTCAGCGGTCTCACAGTCTGCGGCAGCTGGGGGTGCTGTGGCGGCGGCTGCTGCGGCTATACGTTCGTACTGCCGAAGGACGCTCTTTAACACTGGTCCATGGGCCTCGATGTCTTTTAGCAGGATCTGGGGAAGAGAAGGACACGAGGTTACTCAACTGTTGTTAGACGCGGTAAATGTTTGACATAATACACAACATCCACCACCACACCAAGTTCACATTAACACTTAAAGTTATTCTTGGATAATGGCTGAAAAAGACTGGTCTATGTGGTCGATAATTTATTCATTATCTTCATCTGTACAGCTTGTGTCTTATGAAGTATTGAATAAAAAATATGTCAACATTTCTATTAAGATTATTTCCTTCATTGTGGTGTCTAATGAACGCCAGACAAACAATCTGAATTATTAAACCAAAACAACATCAGATTTTAGGGTCGTTGGCCATAATTGGTTGGACCTGGTTACTGAGCCCCACACTGTATTGTTGTCTCCCCGCCTCTATTATCCCGACACAAGGGAGACGCCCGTGCCTCCCCGCCCACCACACAGTGATATAAAACTTGCGGCCTAAAACAAGAGCACTGGCCACTGGTGTTACTTCCTGCTCCTCACAAAAGTAACCTTTCCGGTGGTACCTGGCGGCTCCACGTGACCTGCCATCAGTCATTAGTCAGCTGCCTCTCCCCACCTGCCGCTACCTGACACACTTTCAAAGCGCCTCGCCAATGTTTACCGCAGCTGTACCCGGCCACTGCCTCATATTTCGCCATTAGAAGTAATTTGCCGAACACTTATTCTTGTCGCCTGGAAAGTCAATGTTCATTTGTGTGTGTGTGTGCGTGTGTGTGTGTGTGTGTGTGGCTATGGACGTGTGTGTGTGGTAATACCAATGTAAAATAGAGGATTTCCTTTTATATAATGTATTTTAAAATTCAATAATACAATACCTAATCAAACCCCTTCTGATAACTTGCTGGGCTACCTAGACCGTCGTGGGCCATAGAGTAATTATACCGACCAATCATGAGGAAGTGAATGACCTGACCTGACCCCCCCACTCCCCCTGTGGTAGAGAGTACAGTAACCAACCCAAGTACCGTATTTATCACTATCAACAGACCTGATAAATGGAGCAATAAAAGTGAAGTGAGGTGACCCTAGACAGCACGTGACACACACACACCCACCCACACCCACCCACCCACCCACACCCACCCACACACACACACGCACGCGTCCACTCTCACTCACCAAGCAGGTCTTCCTCGTCACCACAAATATTATCACCGCTTTTTGTATATAATGTTATTTCAGGTATTATTATTAGTATTATAGTTCTCTTAATTAGCATTATAGTTACACCTACTCTTAATTAATTTCAGTTATTATTTTCATTAACAACTTCATTACTACAACTTTAAGCAACATAACTCACACGTCACCAAGGACCATAACAGTCCACTGAGGCGTAAAACAAGGTGACGAAAAAAAACAACAACAAAAACATTCCTGTAAAAAGTGATCATAAGGAATCAAAGCCAAGAGCGATTAATACCACAAAAAATAAATACTTGAGACAGAGGCGTAGAGGCGGTGATGAGAATCTTACCTTATCATAAAATTTCATCTCATTGTTCATAAATCCTACCACAGGTGTTGTTGACTCACACTAAGACACGTAGAAAACCTCGTCATAAATTTCATATCAGGTGTTAGCTATTCTTCATAAATTGTACCCACAGGTGTTGATGACTACAATGTTAAATTATAGACACGAACAATAGCTACAAGACTTCACTATTTTAAATATGGTCCCAAGACTGCATCCAAAACCCTAATACAATAAGTCAGTGTTGTCGCCTTCCATTGTCCCACTACCGAGCCTCAGGTAACGAGTGCCCTTAAATCTCAGGTAACCTCCACATCACCCAGGTACTGAAACGGTGTAAATTTTATCCCCGAACAGATAATAAACGAATTTATTTAGCTGAGGAAGAGTCTTAGTGCTAATCTGATATCGCTGTGGATGGTTAACATTGGAGAACCAGTTAGGGACGTTCTTAATTCATCAGTTTTGAGGGAAATTCAACTTTGAAACTGAGCTCAGGTCTCTTACTACCCAGGTTAGGTTAGGACAGGACCTGACATCGGGCCCCCTGGTGTGATTGGCAGACCTAAACAACCTGAGAACTGTTGACTATCACGCCTGAGAGTAATTCCTACTTTCTCCCCCTGGTGGCCGCCGCACACAACAGACGACTCGCAGTCATTGCTCAAGACAAGTTGCCACGTTTCTTGTGCTCGTGTGTGTGTGTGTGTGTGTGTGTGTGTGTGTGTGTGTGTGTGTGTGTGGTCGCAATTCACAATAAAAAGAGACAGACAGGTGGAAGCCAATACCGCCAAAGCAGGCAGAAAGGCAGACAGGAACACACAGGGAGGGAAGCAGGTGGCCGGAGACAGACTAGGAGAAAGGCAGATAAGCCGTCAAATACAGAGAGAGACGGGGAGGAAAAAGACCCACAGAAGAAAAGAAAGTACAGCCACACGAGGAAAAGAAACACAGGCAACACTGAGACAAGAACACACAGACAAACATATGGAGAGGGCGGGAGGGAGGGAAGCAAAGTGGGTGGTAAGCTTCGGCGGCGGACAGGTCGCTCGGGGTGACTCACCACCGGCCACTAAGATGTTCTCCCCAGATAACACCATACACCCTGGCCACTACACCCCCCACACCATACCGCCAACACTTAGGCCTTCCTGATAACCTCCTGTCCCCTAATCACCGCATTTATTACCTTAATGGCTTACACACACTAACTTAATTTGACTCGACAGTCCATAATCACCTGGGGTCAACCTCTCACGTCTCTCTCCACTTATCTGGTTTTCTGTCAGGAGGGAGGGAGGATGAAGCAAGAGGCGCGTGATAAGATGCTGGGAGGGCGAGGGCGTGGGAGTGTGCAGCTATGTCCTCCCACCTGTCACCCACGCCCCTCACACTCCCTAAACTATGGGAGGAGTAGGACCCAGACATGCGTGGGATGTAAACACGATCGGTGGAAGAACACTCGAGGTGGTGGTATAGCCCGGGTGTTGAAGTGGCTACCTTGACGGGAATAACCAGACTACCTAACTAACACTCTCTCTCCAGGCTATAGTTGTGGCCCTAAGACTACCTCGTAATGATTCCCCATAGTCTTATTAGTGACTCCCAAGGCTAATAGAGATGTCTTTCGAGGCTACTTAGTCGTAATTATCCAGTAACCCAACACCTACAGAAGACCGCCTGCAGCTAGGGATGGGTCGTCTGTCTGAGGAGTGTCTGCACGCACACGTTCTGCTCTACTCAGCGCTAAACTGTACATACACTTTTACTTGCAATTCTGTCTGGTGCAAAATGTACAACTGGTTTGTTTAATGGTCCCGTTGTGTAGTGTTGTTGTGACGTGTGGCAGCGACTGAGACGACGTTAACTTTTACGCGGAATGCACTAATGCCTAAGTACGACGACCCTCCAGAGTACGACATCGTAACTTCTTGAATACGATGCCACAGTACTTTGGGGGGTTAAGTCCTCGTACTCAAGGGGTTAATATGTAGATGTACTCAGTATATATTTTCAACAACATGTCTTTGGGGTTAATACGACAAAAACACTAACTCTGGTCACGTCTAAAGAAATTAATTTAGACTTTTTTCATACAGGTGAATTATATCCATATTTCTAGTGACCTCAACGTAAATATCTTCATTAATGTTGATGTGAGCAGTAACATGAGGCGTGGCTGACGTGGTCTATGTAAAGCTCCATTATTTTTAAGATTACAGACTAAACTTAAGCCATGAAATGTAAATCTCGGCCCCATTACATAATTCACCGGGTCTTGTAATCTGTCGGGTGCATGGGTCGGATTTACGGATAATGTGGCTGTTTGGTTGTTGAGGAACTGTTAAGCGCACGCACGCACGAGTGGCAGGTCATCCACTAATTGCTCTTTCTTTTAAGTACAGCACCTCGCCCAGGAGCAGCAGGGAGAGGATTCAACAGTGGTGCTTTAACTCGTCACTGTTGTTCGTTGAGGACTTGTTGAAGGCCACCACACACACACACACGTCTTCTCTACTATTCTACACTACCGACTTCCAGGTACTACTAACAAATCTCTCTCATCACAGTACAGGGGGTAGAATCATCGGCTCCTGACACGAGACAGAAGCAACTGAAGAAAATACATTCCCCTGTACTGACCCAAGAGCCACGACCCTCACTAAGACTGTAATCATGTACCACTCCCCTGCATACCTCCCAGGCCAAGATAATCCAAAATGGCTTCCTCCGTCGCCCTCCTGAATATAAATGAAATTCCTCCCCTGACAGTCGCCAGTCTTTGTCACTCACAGCAACAAGGCCACACACACACACACACACACACACACACACACACACACACACACACACACACACACACACACACACACCACCGTTAACTTCCTTACAGATATTAATTCCTCGCTGCTGACGTTGAAGGTGAGAAAATAATGCCTCGTTACAGGTGTTCATTAATTGACGATTCATTCACTCATTCATTCTGGTTTTAAATGGCCCCAGTACAAGGCCGAGAAACATCCCTGATTAACAGTAAACAGTACCACTGATGACACACCCCGTTGCTGTGTGTGTGTGTTCCTCACCAGTGTGTTCCCCTCCCCCAAGGTCGTGAAACCTATTACTAACCCAGGAGGAGCCACCATCCCCCCTAGGCCCTTGTAATCACCTCCCCCCACCAGTACCCCAACAGGAACCACTAAAAACATCAACAAACCAAATTATGCAAATGACTCGGCAATTACCAGCCGAGTTTCAGATCATTGGCCCAGAATGTTGGCCTGAATTACATACGAGTATCTTATTGTAAACACCAGAACTACTAGAGGAAGACTGCCTCGGTGAAACTACTGATGTAAGGCGGTCTTGAAGGAGCTTTAACCACTGTAGTCATTATATACTGGTTAAAGCTTCCATTACATTACGAAAGACAGGCGTGAGGAACAGGTGTGAAGGACAGGTGTGAGGAGAGTGGTAGAGGCAGTGTGTACCGAGGGTCAGGAGCCGTGAA